TTTTTTTTTCAAATTACTGATGAAATATTTCACATTGTTTATGACCCCTAATGAATTGCTTAACATCAATACAAATTTACTTAAGCTGTGAACAAAAAACTTCATTTGTGAGGTATGTATATTAACTGAAATAACTGAAAAAATATCAAAGCAACAACTAGAAAACAACGTTACCAGCTAAAAAAAAAAAAAATATGCCGCAAATGCCATAAACAGACACAAATAAATTTGTACAAGCATTGTATTGGCAGAAGGCTTGCACACATAAATACTTATGGTCTACACAATCGTACATACAAAATATTTATATACACCAAAGTGCTAATTCACTATTTAAAAATTATGAAAACAAGTTGAATCAAAAAAAATTGTGGAAGCGAAAAAAAATCCTTTCTACTCTACCGCAACAAGTCACACCTCAACGCATTCATCTTAGTCCATCAATAAATAAAGTCCATCGTTTGTCCATGTTGAGCCATTAAAAAATTCGACAAAGATGCTTACAGTGCGCGACTTCATGGTGTGACTAAAAAGCGACTCATAATCTCACATCAGGCCCCAATAAAATTTAATTTTGTTTGACTATAGCGCAATCATAAAATCTGTTAGCTCCCAACACAGCATTATCCATTCTTTGAATTTAGCAGCGGCAGCAGCATCAACAGCAGCAGCAACAGCAGCAGCGGTGATGAGTCGCCAATGAACTGGGAAGACCGTTGATGAGAACCGAGAATTAAGATGCCAAAGAAGCATTTGCACATCATCAAACGATGGACGATCGGAAGAGAGCTATGGGCAACTGTCAGCAGCAGCATTGGTTGTCAGCGAATTCCCATGAATGCGACAATGACATGACATGTGAGCGTGAGCGTAGGTGCGATTGCGGTACGCTCATCAATTGCCTCAATAAAGATGCTAAAATTAGAGTCGAATAGCTAATTGATAATAATGTTCTGATTTTTTCGTTTTTATGTTCACTTCTTCGTTTGATGGAATCTTTATATGTATGTAGGTATTTTGCTAAACTGTTTAATTCAATAGCCATAAAGCTGATGATTTACCACGCCTGAACAGCTGCATTTTTGGGGAATTAAATTGGAATGAGGAAATAGGTTTTTGGTATAAATCAACTTTATGTGCGTAAATATGATTTATATGCCATACTTATATACATACAGTGCCGGACAAAAGTATTGGCACAATGAATTTTTCGCAATATAAGCAAAGTTTTTTTATTCTATTATGTATTTTCGATAATTGTTTATAAAAATTTATTTTATTCTACATCACACAAACATAAAAGTAGCATCTCGATACTTTGTGCTAAACTTAGGAAATTCAATAAATTCGCATACTAATTTGCAACTTTCTATTCAGATTTTTTAGTTTTTTGGTTTTGATGTTAAGACGGCGATGCATCGCGATGGTAAGAAAGAAAGAAAAGACAGATAGTTTAACAGTGGAAATTTGCGCAACACAGATTTTTTAACAGAATCTGTAGAAGGTGGAGACGTGGGGTAACACTGGCGGTCAAAAGTGGGTGAATAGTATTTTATTTTAATATTTACAATGTTTTTCAAGCAAACATTTTTTTGTTATTTTTTATAAATAAATACATATATGATTCATGCTATAACAAAAACCATATAAATCACACTTTCAAACTTTTTACAGAATTTAGAAAAATTCCACGAATTTTTACCTGAATTTCGAGCTGGCAGTTCACAGGCTTATAAAATTTTAGGGAAATAATTGCAGGTTTTGAGCGGCTAAAAAATCGCATTGACTTAATTTTTTTTTGCTAACGACTTTTGTGTTTTTTTTTTTAGGAAAACTGGCGTTGACTTTTTTATTTTTATTTTTTTCGCAAACGGTCTTCCGCATATTCTTCCACATAAAATTCATGTTTATATGGGAAAAAGAGAAAAAACGCCGTCAACAAAAAAAAAAACTAAAGGATCGGAGCGGTTCGCTTAGGGTTAATCCCCTCCTGATTTCAGTGCTATTCAATAGCGACTAGAGGTTTACGCCGAACTGCTTTGCCGCGGCGGCGTGGTCAACTTCAAAAAGAATCGGCGGCGGCGGCGAGGCCGGCGCGTCTGGAGACGCCGGCGCTACTGCTCATAAGGTAGATTCCAAAGAGCCATGAGGCTACTAATCTTGTCCTGTCATCTCGGCACCCTTAGGCATTCGCCATGGCAATTCAGATTGTAATTGTATTTAATTCATTAATTGAATTAGTTTTAAATTTAAATTACATTACCTTCTACTTGCATTAAAGTCTTGAGTGTCTGCCGCTGATGGATGGGCGAACACACGAAATTTTGAGGTATATACATATGTACATCCCTATGTTCTCTACAAATCCGTATGTGCTATTTAAATTTAAAGAAATACAAAAATTTAAAAGGTCAATAATCTTATCAACCGTTATGTTAAATTACGGAGTTGTTACGATTTTTTTGGGGGTTATGTATTGAAAACAAGGTTTGGTCTACTTTTTTCCAAAAGTTTAACCCATCAACTCCCACCAGAACGGGCCTTTTTACCCACTGTTTAAAAAATGGCTTATAGATGGTTAAAATTTCCACTAAAATATAAAGCGCCAAATTTTTCTTAGGAGAACCGAATGTAATGAAAAATAATAGTAATTTTTAGCAAAAAGGGGGACTTTAAACCTGTGTAGAAGACATTGCGATGCGCGGGAGCAAAACCTTCCTGGGATTTGACCACCACTTAGAAATGCTAACGTAATTTTCACACAGCCACCTAGTACTTGTATACGTCTGCGGGACCCCAGAATAAAATAAGTTACGAATGCAAAAATTAGCAAAAAAAAGAGTTTGCTTTTTATTAAAAGTGTGTTTATAATATTAAAAAAAAATACACAGGAAAATCAACTTATCTTTGTTTTATCTCCAATAATTGAGGAGTTAGATGCAATAAGGGCGCTTCTGTTAAAACTGCTTTCTGAGATATTGGCGTTAAAGTTTTAGATGTGTTATAACTTTCTTGTTGTTGTAGTATATAAAAAAGTAGTATTGTTGTAGTATTGAAAAAAATTGTCTACTGCGGAAGAAAATTGTCAGATTACCAGTATTCGACCCTAATTTAACTGTAATAAACGCTTTCGATTGAAAAACGTGTTACCTATGTTTTTTCTGAGTTACGCTTTTGTTCAGTGGCCCAAATTAAGCAAAAAAAAAAACTCCTTTAAAAATGTAATTTTCATTTTCTAAAATAGTGTTTTTTTACGAGTAGTACAAAATTCTTTAGGCGCCGAACGCCGCCGCCGCCGCCGCCGCGCCGATATTTTCGTAATTCGGCGGCGGCGCGTGAAAAATGACAAAAAACGGCGGCGGCGGCGGCGTGGCTCGGCGGCGTATACCTCTAATAGCGACAAGAATTTTTTCCTCCATAGTTTTAGAATTCTCTGAACATCGGTCACTTTCTGATAGAATTTCTGCGTTTTCCCCGTCGGTCTCTATTTTTTTCTCGTCTTTCGATCAGGAGACAGCGAATCTAGTGCCACCCTAATGCTACGGATTACCTCGTTTCGTTGCTTGGCGAAGTCGATAAGCCTCAGTT